TAAATCTAGATAAATTAGGTAAAAGATTAAATCTTATTGGTGCGGCTAGATTAAATTTTACACAATCTGATTGGCGCGGCAGGATGAAGTGAGATGAGATCATGAGGTGGGATCCAGAATTTTGAAAAGGGCAATAATATTAATGTTGCAGATTGAACAGCATATGCTTATTTATATACCGGGCACTTACATTTCTTTGAATTTCTGGTTTAGAAAGTTGATCAAATTAATTTGTTCGTAATTCATCTTCGGGAATTCTTCTGTGCGATTTATATTTTTTAGCAGCATATTCTGCTAACTTACCTGTAATTCCTCAAAAGTCTGTTACAGATATCTTATTCTGCCTCTGAATCAACATCACTTTACCTCATCATTTGTTCGCTTAATAAATCGTCACCCAATCCCGTCTCCACTATCTCCAATGTGCTTGCTTCTGTATTGGTAAAATCAAGTTCACCTCTGATAAATCTGCCTCTTCCATCTCGAGACACTTTTTGGTATGCGGCTTTTCTTTTAGGTCATGAAACTACATGCATTTATTGGATAACGGATTGTTACACACAAAGGGTACACAAACGGGATGTCCGAAATTTCTATTTTTCTTAAGAAAACATAAGAAAACTGTTACTTTTCAAATCCCTAAAACTCAAAACTTTTCTAGTTGACTAAAAAATCTAAACCGTAACTTTTGTTCTGCATCATCTGTTTTATCATTCTTACGGATTAGTTTTTCTCCATATCCTCTAATAAAAAAGCCTTAGGGTTTTGAAAGTTGGATAATTTATTTCGAGCTTTAGATGATATGCACCATATGGATTATTATAACGGATTCAGACACTTTAGTGCGGATCTACTATGAACTATATAGCGGACTCCATTATAATTGTTATATTAAACAATATCTCATAAGCTCCGTTTATCGAAAAAATCCGGAACCGCACAACAACGATTTAATAGTAAAATGCGCTATATTTAATTAGTAAAACTCTGGTTCCAAGAAAAAATTCCGTACTAAGCGAAACCCGTTATATCGACTTTCACTGTATATATATTTTTGTCACGACAACCATTTGTTATTCTTTTCCCTACATTCAAAGAACAAGAAAACATAAAAACCAGTTTAAATCTTTTCCGGGCTTGTCTATTTTCCCCCCTTCGATTAAAATCTTTTTCAGCATATCTTATCTTCTAGTACTGCTATTTTTCTCTCTCTAAAATACCCAGAATGCCTGCCTTTATTCCCTGATCGCTTACATTGCCAACAAACGATAGAATCAGTAAATGAATACACGATACAGAACGGTCTCGTTTACTATCGCTTACCCCAAGATCTTATACAACTAATACAATTCAGTTACTTCGTCCCCGGGGAAGAAGAAATGGAAGATTCTGAGGAAAGTGAATCTCAACAACTGGTGATGCATTGCAAGTTGGAAACGGTCTACTCTACACAGAAAATTTACTCAGTTAATCAACGATGATGGCTCCCTCGAATTGCTCATGTAAATTGCCTATCGAAATAGCTGATTGTCCTGCTTTTCCTTAGTTTCACAATTTGTAGGCAAGACTTAATTCTCCTTTTGTGACAGCAATGGAATTTTTGCATAAGGTATGTAATCTACATCAGCGAACACAATACCTACGAAGAACAAAAAATCCATAGAGACAATACAATGTTGGATTGACGGAGAAAAGAACCATAAATATAAAGATGACAAAAGCGAAAACTTCGTGATAGTGATAATATTACAGTATTAATATTTGACTCTTTGGTTGCAATTGTGTCAAAGTAGCGAAATACAAATCCAAATCTCAACGTCGTTCGATCAGCAGAAGCCTTGGTAGAAACTTTTATGTTAAACTACCTTTTTTTGTGTTCATGCTCGCTTATTGATTTTTATTTTCGCTTTTTGTAAATTTCATGAGTAATTTTTTCTCCTTGTTTTTTTTTTAAAAAAAAAAAAACAAACTTATTGTCTCAATAAAGTTAAATTCTGGCATGATGTATTTTAAAAGTGTAACTTACACACCGATATCTTATTTACTCTGTCTGATTTTGTTGCAGCATGCCAGATTAACAATTCAATACTCATACTATAATTTTAAGTTATTTTAATGCTTCTTAGCAACTTACTGTATATCAAAAGAAACAACCAAATTATATTTACAAAAAAAATCTTGCTACTAAACTTATGAAAAACTACGCGGGCAAGGGTCAATAATTTGTCCCTAACACATTGTTTTACATGCAAATATTAGCACGCTTATTATCGTTAGGCTTTAATGTTCCAGTGCTACCACTCTGCAGAAAGAATTTAATTATATCGACCACTCTCCGATGGAGCTAGTATCAGAAAAAGTTTCTTTCTCGGAAAATATCTTTAATCAATCTGGGGTTATATTACTGGCTCCATGAATCAGGTTACACAGCATGTACATGACACTTAATCATAAGACCAGAACGTAGTTTGTCAATCAATGAACGTTCATCGACTTTTGAGAATCGGTTATGATAAACAAGTACGATCGTGCGTCCAAAACTTTATTAGTCAATTCTGTGATTAACTTATATAATTCTAACCTATTTGTTCTAACTTTGCAGCAGCATACACAACATGAACACTAACTACTACCCGAACTGTGCAGTGCAGTTATCGTCACAAAGAAAGAAGATACGGTAGTTCGACTTCACCATATTCTTTCTTATTCGGTCGCTGGAGCGAATGCTACATTATAATTATCCGCTGTAGGGCTTTGGAAGTACCAGACAGGTTTCGGTAAGACCATTCAGGTTGTAACCAGGATGCTATGGATGATATCCAAGACGGCCAAGAATCGAGATGATATTATATGGAGATTCAGATAAATGATGTCTGTAAGAGTAAGTTGGTAACAGAAGTAATGGACGAAGTGTTAAGAGCTTTTGAGTGTACGAAAGATTAGGCCAAAACGTCTATTATGGAAAACTTACGTTCATCACACAACTTGGTTGATGTTCGTATAGTTCGTCGGTTGGAAGCTCGCATGATTCAGGTTCTTCAAACGTAATAGTAAAGTTGATGTTGGTCTCTGTTGTCGTTTCGAGGCTCGGACTATTCTGAAATTGATGCGACATATGATTGGATGGCAATACCGGTTGACCTACTGGATTGGAAGATGGCGGTTGTTGGTAATAGATAAAAGGGCTGTTCGGTATATTATTCCTCCATTCTAATAACAGCGGAGCGGTGTTTGCGCGATTGTCACGTTGTTTATCGTGTTGTTTACCGCGTTGTTTCTTATCTACCGGTACCGTGCGTCTTTTTTTTTGAGGCCGAGAATCTGACGTAATATTTTTAACGGATGTTCCAGCGTCGCTCTCAGGCTTGGGAACGGAATCACCAGCAGCGACATCGGAATTACGAGAGAGGTGCTGGGTAACCAATTGTTCTAGATCTGACCGCACTCGTTCCTTCGTTGGACTTTCGGCGCACACATATTTCACGATAGTTTGGATACGCCCTATACCCTCATAAAGTGGGTCTAATGGATTGTTTTCGAGTCTGGAGAATAGTGTCGCTACTCGGCAGGCTTGTTCAGTTTCATCATGAAGCAGTAGTTTGACGAGTGCTGTCAAAAAGCCTCTCTCCATTTGATTTAGCTTATGCTCATTCGTAGTGATTTCCTCAGTCGTACTAGATGTATTACTCGGTTCGGATACGTCAATTCTACTCATCTCTGAATTTTTGTTTAAAAAAATGGGATAGAAGGCAGCAGCACGTCCTTTTAATACAAGAATGTTTGTTATACCACGTCCAAATTCAGCAAAACGGCCAGAATGTTTACTCTAATCACTCAAATTGGAGATGTTCTGATCCATTTATGTAATATTACTCTATATTTGTCAATTGATCCAATATGTTGTACGTTCCACCACAGCCTTCACATAAGAATACGTCATATACTATTACAATATGGCCGTTGTCTTCCCCAAAGTCCTTTTCAGGGACATCTTGCTACTCCATATCCACTCGATTGAAACGATAAAATTTACCTGCTTAATAAGCCTCATGTTTCAAGATTTATATGAGAAACTTTATTTCATCGCTTACATCATCCCAACATAACCTACTCCAAAGCCTTTTCGTCCTTCCGTTCTTTCTTTACACAGAAAGATATTGTGCTTTTTCCATTATTCCAAACTTACAGAAGGGAATGTTTTTAAAACAAACATTCCCAATCAGGTTAGCCCAGCAAAGTTAGCATTATTTATTTGGTTACCAGAGACTTGTCCTACTTACCGCTCGCTACTTCAACATTCACCTAACAATGCAATCGACTTATCTACCGTAGCACGCCCAACTTTGCTGTTTCCTTTACCCCTATTCTGTAAAGTAATCTTGATAAGATGAAATCAGAATAGCCATCACTTGGAGTAAATATTTAGCACCAAATATGTGCGTATCCACTCTGTATAATATTATATAACAGTATAGAATGTAAATATTACAAGCAACTTACGTATTTTATTTATTTGTTTATTTACGTAACAAACCCGTGGCTGTACTGTACATGACACCACTTAAGCTATAAACTAACATCTTTAACTGGAAGACAAGATACTATGATTTAGAAATTGATCGGCGTAAAGTATCCATAAGGAAGCAGTAACTTTTGAATGTTAACGATAGCAAAAAGAAGTCCAAAGACGCTGCTTCCGCACGCTATTACCAAATTCTAATAATTTATTTCGGTATGTGTATCATCACAAAACGATGAAAGACAAATTACAGTCTCGTCATCCAAGATGTCTCCTGTTTCTTTCAAGAGTTACTCCATAGGGATTGAATAAACTTGAGATTCTACTATTTATTGTAAGAAAATTGGAATAGTGTTTTACAAGATAATATTTTAATACATAAATTTTGCCATCTTGCAACAACGTATAGTTAGTGAATAAGTAAAAGACGCATGAATACAGGTTTAACAGCCTTCCAACAGTAATCACGCAGCTCTTCTTTTACAATGATACGCAATGCTTACTACGCATTCCAACTGATTCTGACCCCATGACCATCAAACACTTGAAACAAGCAAAAAGCTTGTTTGTACGGGAGTGGGTTCAAATCCGTGTAAAGCTGTATAAAAATAGTATAGGTAATAGTCCTTTAGCTTGTCGATTCAATTGGGTTAGATAAAGAGACAATGGAAGAATAAAAAAACTTTACATACACTTTAATGTCGATAAACTTGCTGATGTTCGCCAAGAAATCAAACTCCAAGTTTATGGTTTCAAATTATTCTTGATTTCGTCCGTGTTGCGCGGAATCCAAGTACAAATCATCGGCAACAGAATAGTTGACCGTCCTGACTCCCCGTTACTGAAGCTCATACTTCTTTGCGATTCGAAGTAACCGCTAATTGTTGGCGTAATATTTGGCATGTATCCTCTGGTCATACTTGATGAAGTCCCATCGATTGAAAGTCCGTTGATAGTACAATTACTGCTGATTGTCGACCCTCTATCTAGCGTATGCGTGCTCATACTTCTTGGCGACTTGCTAATCGGAAATCCGGTGATGGTGGATGAAGCACTAATTGTTGACGGGGTATCCGGAATAGTTTCAGGTATACTTGTGCGCATGCCACTTGCCATTTGTGGAGCGTGCGTATTTCTATAATTCTTATTCTTTTCCAAGGGAAAAACTTGAAAATATTGTCCAAAATTTGGCGGCAGGGTTCTCCCATAAGTGCGGAAAGGAGTATTTGAATCTGAAATTTGTTTCTCTGGTTTACTGTACGGTTTACGATCAGTTTTCTTACGATCCTTTCCTCTACGAGCAAGCTGTGATGTCTGCGGGGAGTCCGATGTGCTGGGTTTTGAGCTAAGACCGATGCTGACATTAGTTTGGGAAGGTTCAGATAATTGTGCTAATTTGCGCCATATGTCTCTATTATCGTGAATGACTGTCAGACAGCCAATAACTTCATCATATCTGCCTTCAACAAAAATTGCATGCGATGATGGATTGTCTTTAACTGAATTGTATAGCCCACGTAAAATATCGTATTGTTCGTGGGTAGTGCTTGGACAAACGATCTGGCTGAGCAGTAAGTTTTTCAAACGTCGCACTTGTCTCAACTTGGTGCCGTCCATTGCTTAGTCCACCAGTAGGGAACTGATGGATTTTATCTTGTCAACGCTCAGTCATACTTGGAGAAAAACAAACAAGATTGTAATTATTGAAACCCGAAATGAAACGCGGGAGGAAAATCAAGACGATCGCCATTTTAGTTGGGGTAGTCGAAGATAAGGTTGGCGGTAAATCCATGCCAAAAAGAACCATTAAAGGTACCGATGCCCAAATATTTCAGTTAGAGAATAATCGGGCCGAGATTGCATTCCGTTTTAACAAAAGATCGCTGTTCTGAACGTAACTCAATTCAAGGGGCGCATTTTTTCCAAACTTTATTGATACTTTGGGGCATCCATATTTGGACTGAAAGTTGCCACATTTGTCTGGCATTTATTTCGATTTGGACATGCAAGCTTTATCAATATGCATGATTAACTCTATTTGAAAAGTGCATTTTAATAGAACGCGGGCTTAACTTGACGGAATCGAGAACTATGATTATGTCCAAGTCCGATCGGAATAAGTATTTTGATTATACGTCGCCTCATTCGTGTGACAAACAGACGATTATGAAACATATTTTATTCCCCTACCTACCGGCTAATAATCATTTTTGGAACTGCTACATACTTTTCTTTGGATCTTATTAGATGTTGGAGAACCCAACTCTTAAATGTATTGTACATAAGATAAACTATTTTACATGAGAGCTGATCTATGCAAATGAGTGGTCAATTGCAATTGCATGATCTCTATACTGTGTGACCTCTAATGTAGAAGTTCGGTAGCACGAATGAGGGATAGTCAAATCTAAAATCATCGTTATAACGATAAGCGACACTACAGTTCTTTTTTCTGTCTGTGTCTGTATAATGAAGAAGGTTTGCCGATGATTTTTATAACGGTGTAACTTGTCCCAGACCGCCAGAAGTTAGAGTCTACCCGTTGATTTTGAGGAGTTCCCAATCTCGATTTTCTGATGATCATTAATTAAAAACTCTAATCCTATACAGTATTTTATATAGACGGTAGAACTTACACAATGCTGTCTCTGTGCTATAGTCAATAATTCCGACACTTTTCTCCGACACTTTTATACACTAATCCAAATTAATCCGTCTGTGTTAGTTATGATTTGACTCTGTATGCAGAATATGCTGTACTACTTCAGGTGTCGGAGATAAATATCGGAATTATTGACTATAATATATTTGTTTATAATAATAGCATTTATTTGCATTATATGTATTTTCTTTAATTAATAAATTGATAATTATGAGTTGGTCAACATCTAACGGGTTAGATATGTCAGCGAAAAATTAGTTAACTATTGCTTGCTAATTACTACAGACTTTAGAAAGTAAAATTCGCGAAGGCATAAACAACTAAAGCAAGCTAATTCATCTCACTTATCTATCATTGTATGGCAGATGGTTAATAAGGATTTATCTTAAATGTGAATGTTATTATGTAATATCTTGCATGTGAGGAGCTTTAATGCGAAAACTGGTTTTCACGAAACCATGTTACAGATAAGACAACAGCGATAATATGTCTTAACTTCATTTGTGATTAAGTTGATATACTGACTTTTTTGTTATCAGTTCTAAGCAACACATGGTATGGCCATCGACTGGTTGTAGCAATGTACCCGAATACGTTGTCGTGTAAGTCCAAACTGTAATAGAATGAGGGAATTTAGTTTGCTTTTTTTTCCACCTCCGTTTCATGGTTTAAAGTCATGGCCATAAATGTTTAATATCTCACTTCTATAATATCTTACTTCATATTCTTCCATTCTTCCGAATACGCTAGTTGACCCTTTTTGGTTGAGTCTACGCACTTTAAGGCATCCGTTGTTGGATTAAACTCGAAAACAAAGTTATGATCGTTGGAGACATGAAGAGAATTGTTTCCAAAAAACATCTCTGGTAGCGGAACAGGAACGGTTCTCTGAACTCTGATGAAAAAAAGGAGCAAATAGAGCATTCAGCATAAATTGATAGGGAAGTGGGTGTGAGTGCTAGTTTCCTCTTGTACAAGTATGAACGATTACCTATCGATTTCCTTGGAATTTAAGATTGGACATTTCGTCGATATGATGGCCCATCCTTGTATGCGAATGCCTTGTTGTGAACCTTCTTAATTAACTCGTACTTTGGAAGAATGGACATGTTAAATGCACATTCATCGAAATATGTTGTAATGTGATTGATTTGCCGCCATTACTAGTATTGGTTTTGAGCGTTATACTCGTGAATCGAATGACAAGAGCGTCGACTGATAAAAACATTTAAACCTAAAAATTATATGCGTCACCAACAAATCTCAGCTGACTCATCAATCAGATCTTATATTAAAAAAGATTATTCTAAGAATTCATTCCTTTATTTAGCAACAATTGAGTGGCGATAACGTCTTGCTTCACTTTGTTAAGATTATATTAATATGCTCACGCTGTGCATTTTATGCTGCAAATCCGATCCACGTGACAAAAATCTCGTGTTAGTGTACTTGTCGGATGTGTGTAACATGTCGGCTAATATCTCCCGATTATTATTATTATTTATTATTAATATTAATCGTGCCAGGTCGTACGGGCTCAAATATTATCTCTTTATTGGACGCTCAAATGGCATCTCTTGTGCGTGATAATCGCACTGTATTATTATCTAATTCATAATTAATGGATACAAATATCTCCGACGAGGAATGGTTAAAAAGGAGAATTGAAGACAATAGCATTCAATTTTATCCTTTCGAAGACCTTATTGAACCAGAACTCATCAGGTCGGGAGGATATGGGGTGGGTTTCAAAACAAAACAGAGAAATCTTGGTATAACGGTTGCATACAAAGTTCTCGAACCGGACAAAACTAGGCTTGAAGACTTTGTAAAAGAGGTTATTGTCAAACGTGTCTAACAAGAGTATTTTTGTACCTTACTATTACTAATGCTATTCAATGGAACTTTAGGTTAAGATCCATCATCAAGTTGATAACCACCCAAACATAATTCGGTTTCTAGGAGTAAGCAAGGGTAAGCATCACATCGTCTCGACGTTACAAGGATTAACTACAGCACGCATGATATTATATTTCTGTATATGTCACAGATAAGCAAAAGAGACATATAATAGTCCTTGAATATGCTGATAGTGGCTCGTTGCAAGATTACTTATTGGCTCCGCCAGTTGAATTGAACTGGGTTGCTTGTTGCAGATTGGGAATGGATATCATAAATGGATTAGGATATCTTCACAGACAAGGTATCTTACACAAAGATCTGGTAAGAATTGGTACAATAATTACGCCCATGTCATGTATTAGTATATCATTATAATATTGATGAATGAGTAATATATTGTTTTATTTCTTCTTCAAGTCTTCCAAAAATGTATTGATCCATGGAGGTATAGCTAAGATAGCAGACTTTGGATTGTCAAACTATATTTTACAACAAAAAAGTAATTCAAATCGTAAAGGACATCTGCCATATATTGATCCTAGACTTTTTAATGATGATCAGATTAAGTGTGATAAAAAGGCAGACATATTTAGTTTTGGAGTGGTATTATCCAGCAAAAGACGTCCATGTGAACAAGTGGATGACCAAAATATTATCATTTATAGACTACAGGGGGGTCGTGAAGATCCAGTCCCAGGAACTCCAGAAGAATATATTCAACTATACTCAGCTTGCTGGGATATTGATCCTGAGATAAGACCATCATGTGAGCAGATTATTGACCAATTAAAATCTATCATACAACAAAAAATTCATGCAATCTCTTACTCTGACCAATTGTCAAACATCTTTTATAAAGAGATGTAGTCGTTTTGAGTTTATACAAACTCAAAACGACTTAGATTAGACTATAATAGTCTCAGGTATGTGTCATGATTCATTTTTTACGACACACTCGTCAGTGTCATGACGACAGAAATGCGACACCGTCGTCAGTGTCGTGATATA